ACGGCGCGTCGCGTTCCGCGCGCGCCTCAAAGAACCATCAGACCACCACAGATGGGGCCCAATAGGGCCGATGCCGATTCGGAGTCGCGGAGAACCTAACGGGTAACTGGGGCTCCGGCTCGACGTGCAGGAGAAGGAACGGGGTGGTTTTTAGTCAGTAAGAGTCTGACACTCCCTCACGCCTCACCCAGGCGGGAGCAGTCATTCGATGATTTTCTCCACTTAAAAAAAAGGTATTAAATTGTATCTACAGGTATATAAATATGTTTTTATGTGTTAAGTGTTATAAGTGAAATAAAAACGCAACATCGTAATTATTCGTAATTTAAAAAAATTATGAAGATATGAAGTAAGAAATCCAGAGTTCTTCATAGCCACTTTTCTACGATTAATTGAATAAGCAACTATGCCATATCATTTTTTTCCTACAAGCTTTAGGTGACAATAGCATGATAAGGCGGTTAAGGAAAATGAGTATTTATCTGTGAACGAAAGAAGAAACCACAATATTTGGTTAGTGATTACAGTCTTTAATTAGTATTACGCAAAACAAATCTTATCAATGAAGGACATCAGAATCTAATCGTTACTCCCACATAATGATATTGTTATAAACACAAAAATAATCTTTCCAGGAAAGGGTGGATATTAATTGGAGGTTTATAATTTTTTTTTCAGGGTGGGGGGAATAATTGAATGTCTCCCGCCCTAGGTGAGTTGAGAGGGAGTGTCAGAGTCTTACTGACTAAAAACCACCCCGTTCCAAATCCTGCTCCGAGCCGGGCCGCGGCGGTATGTCATTGCGATTAACCCACAACCCCGGCATCAGCCCCAGAGGACCCGTCTGTGGTGGTCTCATGGCTCTTTTGATCTGCGTGCGGATCGTGACACGCCGTACGCTCAGTATTAATGAAGGTTTTTATATGTAATAAGCCGGTGTCTGGCTGCTACTTCGGCTGGTGGTAAGCGATGAAGTAGCTTACCATTGCGTCGGACCATTGTGGACTAGCAAATATACCCATTAGATACTAGTATCTACTGTTTTAGGGACTTTATACACTTATTATATCGCACCAGACGCAATTCTATCTCTTGGGTTGACTGATTGCAACTATGACTGCTCTTAATTTTCTCAGTACCTAACAGCTCAGAAGTGAGAATTTTATAGTTCCTCAATCATATGACATCTGTACAATCATGAAGAACATAGCACTTTATAACATTACCTATCTATGAAAAAAGGGTATTCTAACATTTGAACTTATCGCCACGACCGGGTATAACTTAACGGCATATTTTTTATAATAGAAAATTAAGTTCATTATAATAATTTTATACGAAAACACGTGAATATGTAAGTTCCTTGATTTGTTGTGTGAAAAGCTAGCACGCGTAACAGTAAATCGATAATCATCCCTTTACTAAATGATTGATGTTATAAATTGGGTCGGCAGTTACCGAATACCTTCCTCGATATAATGTAACCAGGTAAAACCGACAAAATATACATAGTTAAATACGAAACATATTTTCTGAGCATTTTTACAGCTTGTTATAAATAAACGTAAGATAATCTAAATCTGTTTGTAATATTAAAATAACTGCTTTTTACCACATGTATATGAATATACATACGATACACAATTACACATACGTCTACCCAATTACACATCGTCTGTTCGTCTCTCTGTTTGTACTGGCTAATATCTGGGGTGGCTGGGCCGATTTTGCAAGACTTTTATTGGCAGATAGCTGATGTACTTAGGAGTAACATAGGCTACTTTTATTAATTTATATTCTACGCGGACGAAGTCACAGGCTAGTTAGACCTACGCATGTTATGTACCTGCATCATGACACCAATAGTCAAAGTCAAAGTCAAAGCATTTATTTCAATTAAACCATAGTTTGGTACATTTGAAACGTCAACAAATACAAAATAAATAATAGTCTGTCAGTCAGTCCGTCAGTGAAATTAGGTGAAGCTAGGTGCTCATTCCAAAATGTAGATTCGAATGGAGAAGAACGAGAAAGGAGCTCCATTCGTTACTCTTTTTTAAAAAATAACTTTATTTTCGTCCCTGCTGCAACCATTTACTAGCATTTTATCACTGAAATCTATTGCTTATTAAATAAAAAAAAAACTTTTAACTATATTATCTTTATTCACGGTATAATAGGAACCTAAGTACTTAGGTATCTACTTCTTCCCAGTTTAACATTACGTTAGTTTCATTTCTATATAAATAATCAATTCAAAGCAACAATACGAAATGACGTAACACAGTGGTAATATTGCCTGTTATTAATAACTGGCCACTGACAGCAGTAGATAAGGTAGGCAGCCATATTAAGGGACCACGGAACATACCCACTTTATTACGTCATCATCGTTAGGGAAAATTGTTTGCGATCAACCTAAAACTTTATACTAACTATCTTCACTTTATTTTTCCGAGTAAATTGAGGCTGAGTAAAAGAGATTAAGTTTAATTTTAGTACCTACATTTTTTCATTATATTTGACTGCACTATTATTCTTGTTCGTACACTGTCCTTATTTATTAAAATAATATTATATAGCCTTTCTCCCAAATGCGGTAATTACAACTTAAAATCGTCCGCTAATTTATATTAAATAATCCATAAAGACAAACTTTCAACTTTACTTTTGACAGGAATGAGTTATAAAATTATTGTATCTTGATGAAAAAGGTTTTATAAGTCGAAAATACCCTAAAAAAGAAACGGTTACCTTTATTAGCGGTTAGGACGTAAAATATAATGTTACGGGGAAAGTTACCTGTGTTATTACACGCTATGAAAAATG